GCCACTTCGCCACAAATATTTCTGAAGTGCCATAAGTCGTGGCTCAAGTGCAAATCGAAACTCAATCTGGATGTACAATTTTTTGTATGAACAATAAATATTCTGACAGGATTTCAGGCACTTTTCAGGCTAGTTTTCGGGTTGGCACAATGCCAACTGCGAACTTTGGAGCTACCGTATACGTGGTGTGGACATGCACGGTAGCTGAATTTGAAATCTTTAGCGCACACATGTACAGAGAATATCCCTGCAAGGTTTCAGCCATCAAATTTCCCATAAGAAAACCCTTTTTCGTGGACCTCCTGTCTGGGGCCAACTCCTGTTCTACCGGAAGGGCTCACATTCCTTCTCTTCTGGGATGATACCAATTTTCCTTATTTAAACACCCCATTCTTTCAGTCGAGGTCTTCGTCTTTGCCTTGATCTTGGTCATCGATCCGGCGCGGCTAAAATTCCTCACCGTCAGTTCTCCAGCGACGCTGTCTACCTAGCCTCCACCGCTGGAACACACCGAGGAGCCCTGCTCGTCCAAGCAGTCTCACCTCCCTACACTCAGTCCATGGCTGTCCTTCTGCGTATCGCCGTACGTAAATCATAGACATTTGTTAATCTGCTCCTGGCGCTCATAACGCAAAAACAAACGCACATCAATCCACCGCGCTTTTACCGCTTGTTGTTGAGTTGAAAATGAGCGACAGAGCTCATTCTCTTCCAAACATACATACACACTCACACGGAGGACCTCTTTGCTCGCCGTGACAGTGCTGTAGCGCTGCACAGCAAAAACGCATAAAAAGGACGGTGGGCTTTGAGGAGCCGAAGCTCCCCAGAACGGATGTTGCCCGCTCGCACCCACCCATACACACACCTCCCGCACACCCCCGCCCGTATGCGCCATCCATTTGCTCATGGCTCAAAAATGCACAAAGTCTGGATAGTGAATCGCAGAAGAGTTCGCCGCCGACCCTACCTTGGGCAACTGAACCAGTGCGTTTCTCACGCCTAGCTCTTCAGCTGTTTTGCTTCTTACAACGAACTGTTGCATTGATGACCGGCCGCACGAAGTTTTTTTTTCTCTGGATCCAGTGCTGATGTCTTTGTTATTCCTCCGTCGTTCGTCCGCACGTTGCGCGAAACGTCGGAATGATAAAAAAAGATGGAAGCTTCGATTCGTGTCGGGAAGCAGCTGGAGGTTGTTGACTCGGCGACCTCCATTGTTGAAGCGAAAGAAAAAAGGAGGATAAAATTTTGTGAGCCTGTTTCCAACATGCGTTTCATCCTTACAGTTTGAAACCATCGCTCATTTAAATCTGAATTACAGTACGTAAGTCGACGCAAAAGAATAGTACCCGCTCGCTTCCGGCAAAGTAGTAGGAGAAAGGCGAGCGAAAAGAAGACGCCTGGATATGCTCGGAGGCGAAGAACTCCACTACATTCCGTGTGCGCGTTTAATTTCTTCCCGTATTGTTGTTCCAAGTTTCAGAATCAGTCACATGCCTCTTGAAATCCGCATCGAAGTCTG